AATTCAGATATGTGGCCAGCAAATAATTCTAAACATTGTAGCACCCATAAAAGTCTAGATCATTGAAAAAAAGAATTCACTTTCGAAAAAAAAAAAAAACATCATTTGGGAAAACTGAATGAAAATAAAATGTAGACTATGGCAATTATCAAACAAAAAAATGGAATGTTATTAGATCCAATTTCTCAGTCTTTGGTAAGTAATACACAACACCATATATGTAGGCCTATATATAATCTTACCTTGGGATGAAATTTTCACATTCGGAGACAAACTTAAAGTAAAGTAGATGCTCCTTTCTCAAAAAGCAGATCATGAGAAAAAAAAAGGGTTCTCATTTTGAAAATAAAATACCTACAAAAATTGTATTAAAAGATACACTTTAAAACTATAATGATTATACATTCTGTGCAGTATAAAGTAAATTCATTTGTCAGTCCCAATCATGGGTTGTGATCAGTCAAATCAAAATTTATGACAAGTAAATATGATGTGAAAGAGACAACACTATAAATAATATTGTAATTTCATTAGGTATAGTGCAAGTAAAGACCAGACTGAGATCTTGAATGCACGACAAAGCCCTGTTAGAATTAAACAAAAAAGGGGGAAATGAGAAAGGAAGAGAAAAAAAAAGGGAGAGGGATCTAGGCAGGATGTGTGTATGACACGGATGCAAAGCAAACATCTCAAGAGTTCCTCATTTCTAGGCCAAAATTATTTTTGAATAAAAGTGGTATACTACATCTTCGGCTTTCTCCAAACAAACTTTTCACACCATGATTCCCACTCATATAAACGAAGCAGGGGAAAATGAAGTTAGGGCTCCTAACTAGGGAGCACCGACAAACCCCTGCAGGCTTGAAGATGAAAACTAATTCATATTCATTAAAAAAAACATACATGTATTATCATCATGTAGAATATTCGCTACCCCTTTGTAGCTTGAACATTTGTCCCAAAAAGTTGTAGATCTAACTCTAATCGAGTCTGCATAAAAACCAAACATCTGAAAACAGCAGTAAGTCAAAAGAAAAGAAAATTTCTCCAATTTTTTAGCAATCCCTCTAAACTAAAAACAAGGCTACACCGAAGAAAATCCGGTGGTCCTGCAGATGTCGATATAAACAGACTCCACTGTATTCAGATCATGTAGGACCGTCCATTCACTCAAACCATAACTTGTCACATTTCAAAGGAGACAGATTATGAATAATTGAAATGTTACAGTACCCCCTTCCATCCTTACAAACAGTTCAGGTTTGTTTTGTTTTAGTAGAAGTTTTACGGCGCTCGCAACTGCATAAGGTCATATGAGCGCCAAGGGGTGGATGTTAACAGAGAAGTCCTTACAGGGAATCAGGCTTACTCTGCTCACCTCTCTAGCTTCAACAGTACAAAGTCTGCTTCGACTATCAAGGCACCCCAGAAATAGTGGGTCACAAGAGTGTGACAAACATACAAAAGAAGTAGAGGAAAAATGACGATAGTAAGGATTAGGAAAGAAAAAGCAGCAGTTCCCTGTTGAAGTTCAGGCACAGTTATGAGCATGACATTGATGAATCAGCCCATTTACGAGTACAATTACAATTCTACTGTGTATAAGAACATGGTTAATGTCCCCCCTTTGGGAATGGCCTAAAGACACTTCAGTCAGTATCCAGCAACAAAACATTTAAAAAATGTAATTAATCATATCACAGATAATGCTGATTATAGTCAGTAAAGCCACATAATAATAGTAAAACATTTCAACAGTAACCAACACATCTAACAAGAAAAACAAAGAACGTGTCAAAAATGTCTAAAATAATATTCTTTAAGGATTTGCAAAGACCAAAGCAAAAATAAACCATATTGAATTCTAAAAATCATAGCTGGAATGTTTTTGTTGCTTTTAAAATCTATCAACATTTTTCTCAAACCACAAAAAATAATTATTATTGTCAATAATTAACAATAGAGCACTCTTAGAATGACTCAGATTGGGGCCCCTCAAAATTCTTGACTTAATCAATTCTATTTAGGTACTTGTACATAGGTATATCCATTAAATTCCTACCACCTTAACCATCTTGCAGTAATAAGTATTTCTATAAATTTTTAAGTTAAAGCATGTAATTCCAGAATATCATCCGAGTACTATCAGATTACTGATTATAAATGTATCTAGTGTAGTCATCATTATTGTTGACAATAATTGTATTCATTTTTATATCATGATTATGCGTGTGATTGTGGGTCTGTTTGTGAGAGAAAGCATAATATTTTGTGTGCATGTATGTACATGTAGATGTGTGTGAAAGAGAGGATGTATGAAAGAGTATGTTTGTATGGGTGCGAGTGTGCACGTGTGTGTGTGTGTGTGTGTGTGTGTGTGTGTGTGTGTGTGTGTGTGTGTGTGTGTGTGTGTGTGTGTGTGTGTGTGTGTATGTGTGTAGTGAAACACCAAACCAATGCGCCAGATCTGGACAATATACATTTTTCTTACTATTCTTACCTTTATCTTTCTTACATGACCTGTATATCTGTATATGCACGTTTAATACCAGTGTGAGTGCGAGAGAAAGAGCCCAGACTGTCCTTTCATTTGATATATAATGCTATACTTAGCAAAAGAGGGCAAAACTAAGCATATGTATGTATTAAATAAGTACCTGTCGTCCAAAAAAAATTACGTCCAGAAGGGTAGAAAATTACGTAGTGAATTAGTTCATAACAGTTCAGCTTCATCGGTGAAATAAACACACATAAAAGGAACCAGCCAGAGTACTACCAAAGTACAGTTAAACTTTTTCTAATTCTAATGGCCACCTGATAAACACAATCACTTGTACAAAAGACCACTGCCCACTTCCTCTTTGACATATTATTTTTTTTATATATTATAATGGCACTGTCCAAGACATCCACCTGCCTAAGACGACCACTGCTCTCCTCCATATAGGATGGCCAGCATGGACATTTTAGACTGTAGTGGTACTGTGTTGACGTGAGCTATCTTGTTTTTTCCTTCACGAGTAGACTGGAAACCTCATCAGCCAGACCTAAAATGGGAACAAACAAACAAAATCATATGCTGAAATTATCTACATCGGGCGTTGAGAGCACCAACAGAGTATATGTGAGAGAATGTGAGAGAGAGAGAGAGAGTGTGTGTGTGTGGGTGGCGAGGGGGGGGGGGGGGGGTTTGGGG